CTCTCCCTTCCTCTCTCAAAAAAAAAAAAAAAAAAAAAAAAAAAAAAAAAAAAAGAATGGGAAAGACCCTACACGACACCTGCTGGGCTGAGAGCGCCTAGCTGGTGGCTCCTGCATCAGGCATCCCCAGATGGCAGCCCACATCCCACATACCTCCCTCAAGTCGTTGTCCAGCCCAACATGCTCGGAAGGCTGGCGAAGGCGGTCTTTTCTGCGCTGCGTGGTGGCGCTCCGACTTACCCAGCGACTGAAAAAATAGAATCCGTAGGTGAAAACAAACAAACCAAAGCAATGCAGTCACTTACCTTTAAAATAGAAAGAACTGTTCAAAACAAAAGACTGATAATACTTATTTTTCTTTTTAAAATATGTAACGGCTTTAATGAGATATAATTTAAATACCACACCATCACCCCATTTAAAGCATGTAATTCGATGGTGTTTAGTATATTCAGAGATATATAATCATCACCACAATCAGTATTTTTTTTAAACTGAGGTTAAAAAAATGCACAGTTATCGCCTCTGTAAGGATCGTCTGTCTCCTTTGCATCTTGCCTGTCCAACAGAACTCCAAATCCTGGGTGAATAATGCTACCCTCTCACTTCCTTATTCTCATACCCATGTAGGTTAGCTTTTGATTTCAAAACTCATGAGTATCCATGAATCACTTCACCTGACCTTTATCAAGTCTCCCCAAATCCCCTCAGAGACTATTCTGTATCTTTCACTTTACTCTCAAGTGTGGCCTCCACTCAACTGATGACTTACGTGCCTCCTTCCTCTCACCCTCTATTTAATGATGCACACAGACACCTGATTTTTCTACTAATCTCAAAGTATAAAATATACTGGCCACGGCTCAAAACTATTTCTTCCACCTGTATTCGTGACCAATTCTCTCTTGCCTTCTCTGATCTGCTCTATTAGTAACCTCCTTTGCTGTCTCTCCAATTTCTCTCTCCCAATTGAATCTGTCCTTTCAGCTTACAAGCATGCTGGTATCTCTCTTGACCTTCTATGGTTACGTTTAAATCTCTTTCTTCACTCTTCTCATGTAAAAGTTCTTAAAGAGAAAAGTGTAGACATGAGGCCTCTACTTATTTACCTTTGGATCTTTAATCTCAAATCAGCTTCTTCCCATGAAAATGCTCTTGATGAAGCCACTGGTGCCCCCATTTGCCATATGCAATGGCTTTATTCATTCAATTCTTAGCTTATTCAAACTCTGCTACATTTAGTGCTGCTGATCACTCCTTCTACCTTAAAACTCCAGCTATTTTCAACTGCCTCAGTATTTCCAATGGGATAAGCTCTCTCACATTTGAGCCTCTGTCCATAAAGTGTTCTCCCAACTTCTACTCATCTTTCAGATAGCTTAGATGGCACACAGAAAGTGTTCTCTGATTCTTCTAAATCTAAATTAGCTACCCCTCTTTTACTCCCTAATTGTAGTACGTATCAGAGCATGTTATTCTTACTTAGCTCTATTTCCTTTCCTTTTTTTTTAATCTTCACCAGAGGATATTTTTTCCATTGCCTTTCAGAGAGAGTGGAAGAGAGAGAGAGAGATCAACACTGATTTGTTGCCTCCCGCGTGTACCCCAACCGGGTTGAGGGATGGAGATATGGCTTGGCTGGAATCAAACCCGGAGCCCTTCAGTCCGCAGGTTGACACTCTAACCACTGAGCCAAATCAGCCAGGGCACTTATCTCTATTTTCTATAAAATCCTCTCTACTATAAACTCTTGAAGGGCTCGTATCATGTCTGTCAGCCTCTTTATTGGCAGAATCTGCTCTGTCACCTGCCCCTTCTATAAATACACCTTAAATAAATAATCGCAGATGCAATCTAACATTTAGGTTTACAGATGTTCATCACAGCATGTATGCAGTAACAAATTCTGTGTTTCTTTTATTTGAAGACACATTTTTGCTTTTAAATGTTTCTGAAATTAGGATATATATTTCACTCCAAAAGCATGTTAAATGCATAATTTTTCCAAAAAGCTTTTGAGTTAATAGCAGATCTTACACCCAACAGTTAGAATTAATTAAATGTGCTCAAAACAACCTAACTGTTCAACAGTAGGGGGTATTATACAATGAAATATCATATACTCATTTAAAAAATCAAGTTTCTAGGAATATTAATAATATGGGAGAGTGCTCCTGATACAATAATGAATGAAAAAGCAAGATACAACACTGTATAAACAATATTTTAATTTCGTAAGCAAGAAAAAAGTGTGAACATGCACATGTGTATGCACACACACCAGGATCCATACAATGGAAAAAAACACCAAATGTTAACATCTCATGATGATGGCATTACGGGTGGCTTTAAAATTTACCCTATCACTTTCCAATATTTTAAAATTTTGATCGAATGTGTATTCTTGACTATGTATTCATTGTACCATTCTAAGAATATTTACTCTTGAGTATAACCTTGACAACAGAGATACACACAATTTAAAGTAAATTTATAGCCTGGCCAGTGTGGCTAAGTGGTTTAGTGTCAACCTATGAAACAGGAGGTCACAGTTTAATTCCCAGTCAGGGCACATGCCCGGGTTGCAGGCTCAATCCCAGTAAGGGGTGTGCAGGAGGCAGCCGATCAATGAATCTCATCACTGATGTTTCTCTCTCTCTTTCTCTCTCTCTCCTTCTCCCTTCCTCTGAAATCAAAAAAAACATACAAAAAAATAAAATAAAATGAATATATATTTTTGCCAGTAAGAAAAAGTCATACTGCATTTCTGACAATTTATTACTTTTAATTATTTCATTAACAAAGTATCCAATTTACAAAAAAAGTTAAAATGAGAAAGCTGTTTCTTTTTAAATAATTCATGTATGCTTTTGGTTTCAAGCTTCTAAATCATCTCATTTCAGTCTGCCAGAGGAACACTAAACAATTATAATAAAAAATGGTAGCAAAAAAGGTAGCTTCTCTTAAAATTTTTTTTAAAGGATATAGATGGGTTTACATCAGGGAAAAAATGCACGAAGATTTAATGATAGAGCTCTGAAGTGGAATCATTGGAAATGGATCAATGGAAGACTATAAAAAGAATACTAAGAAAATTGAGGAAACTGAAAAGATCCAGAAAAAGACATAGTAAGACACTGACAAAGATTTCATGCTTGACCAAACTACCATCAGGCACCTGAACTTTCTCCCAGACCATCTGTTCACTTCCTTGTAAAATCCAGTTTTAGTAAGAGCCCCACTAAGTCAGTTTAGAAGGAGCCCCCCATCCTGAGGGTCCATGAGCTCTCTTATCTGATCTGGGTCCTCATCGTTCCCCATCCCCCACATGAAGCCCAATCACCCTGGCCTGCCTTCAGCAAGAATCCTGTTAGGTCAGTTTAGTCAGAATCTCCCCTGGGCCCTAATATTTACTCTTAGTAATTTTCCATCCACTGACTTCCCCTCTACTCCTTGGCTATAAATTCCTCCTTGCCCATCATGTGTTTGGAGTTGAGGCCAATCTCTCTTCCCCGTTGCAAAATCCCATTGTGGTGGTCCCAACACCTATCACAACAGCCTCCCTTGAATAAAGTCTGTCTTACCATCTGCAACAAGTGTCATGAATATTTTTTTCTTCAACAACTCTGAAGCAGAATATAAATATCAGCTGGCAAACTTATATAATAAATAAAGGGGAAGAGTAAAATATAATTAACCAAAAAAATGTATAAAGGCCTGGGTATAGATTTTTGACCGGCAGGCCTTGAAAATAGCCTTGTAGAAAAAGGGGGGGAAAAAAGGGTCAGTGTAATATAGTAAAATTTGTTCAGGGTTTTAAAAAATTAAAGCTACTGGGTAGAATATAAAGGGCAGAACATCTCCCTTGGCAAGAAAAGTGGAAAAGACCATAGGTAAAGAAAAGGATAATTATTAACTTACATATTATAACTAGCATCTTACTATACACTCTGTGGGCCAAAAGGCCTATTTAATTTTAGTTTCAAAACAGGTAAATGAGCATCTGCTTAAGAAAATTATTATGAAGTCCACACATTCCTGGCCTGGTTAAGTAACTAACTTATTTTTTGCATTACTGAACCTTATTTACTAAGCATAATTTTACCAAAGATAATCATATTTGCTGAATCATTAAAGATCGCTTATTTGCTTTTGCCTTGTAAGCAGCACATTAAATTCTCTCTAACAGTTGATCAACCATTTACATGGGCATGGTTATAAATCCCTTAAACCCTAAAATTAGTTCTGAGATATTTTTTCTTTCAGACTACAATGTACCTGAAAATATAATGCTTGGGCTCTGTGTGGAAATGGGAAACCTTGAGATTATATATAAGATTAAAAGAAAATATGGCAGTAAGATCTAAAAATTGAAACCTTCCCTCCTGAGCACTCCTTCCCTGCTTTATTTTTCATCACAAATCTTATTACTGTCTGACAGGTTATTTATTTTACATATTAAGTTTCTTTGTTTTTTTCCTCCTACTGAAAGCAGGGATTTTGGTTGTTTTGTTCATTGCTAGGCTTTCAGTGAACAAGACAGTGCCTTATATTCAGGAGGGGATCCATAAATATTTGCCAAATGAATGAATGAGCAATCTAATGGTATCAAAAGGAAATAAAAACTATTAAAGTTAATACTTGACCTGTATCAAAGTGATTCAAACAGGATATTTTACAAATGTAAGGAAAAAAAGAATAAACTGATGACTAATCTGTTCTGATGGAAAATTCTCATCCATTTCTGAAATATAGGACATTGTATCTAGTACCATGACCTGGAAAGTTTGAACCCCCAACACTCAGTATCTCTGAGCACATTTTTAAGTTCAGTGTTTATCAAAGTAGGGACAGCTCTTCAATGCAGGGTAAAACCCTGCCAATTAACTGTATACGTGGTTTTCCTTTAAGAATCTAGCATTTATCATTATAAATCTCCAGCCCTTACAGATCTGTCACAAAATTTGGAAATTTTCATCACGGCTTTATTAACAGCATCTTGAAAAATAAAGATTTAAGTGCCAAAAATTTTGCAATGTATAGTTCAGCAGATCATCTGAAAGGTAGAAACATTATCTTGCTATCATCATAATTAGCTGGTTTATCAATATTAATAATAGAAAAAGAGCAAAGGGAGGACAGACATTACAAGCATGGTCACCTGGGCAGCTTCCCCAGGAAGCTACACTACACCCCTGGTCCATTCCCTGCAATCACTGGGGGAAAAGGTCTAACAAAGGGGAAAATGGACACATGCAGAGTAAAGTAGGGGTGATGTAGGGAAGATGCTTGCCTATCAGTCTAACCTGGGAAAAAGATCATTGGCTGGGGGGGTAGACACCAATATAAGCTCATGGAAATCTGGGAACACACAATCCCTAGACAGTCCCGTCTCTCTTGTTCTGCTCTGACTTTATTTCTGCTCCCCTGTACTCTCTTGCTTCATGACTCACACTTGCCTGCCATGTGGTCTTAAGCAGCTGCATGGACCATGGCTATGTGGACCCCACATGCAATGGACTGCAGCTGGGAACATAAGCTAAGTTAGCCAGATGCTGGACTGGAATGGACTTTAATATTGAGTGACAACTCTGGGCAGTGGCCTTAATTCTTGTTCTGCTGAAGACAAGACTAGGCTTTTTCCATAGCGAGATAGAGGAAGATGGGACCTTGGAAGGGAACCCCCTTAATTTTACATCACTAATAAAGCTTGCCACAATCACTCAGGCTCCTGTATGAGTCTCAGGAAATTCCTTTCTTTGCGACATCACAAGAATTCTACTTCCACCAGCAACAGGTGTTGACACAGAGGGCACCCCACTGGTAACAATACTCCTAGCCCATCTTTCAAGAACCTTCACATTACTAATTTAGTTTTGGGCCACTTTGGTCAAAAGACATAAACCACCTCTTTTTTTATTGCTCTCACTGATTCTACACTTGCCTTCTGAAAATGCACGTGGCTCAATGCCATTTATGTTGTGTACTTAGTCTTTACTTTAGTCTTCTAGCCCATTTCTTTACCACAGCCTAGCTCCGCCCCCCCTCTCTGACTCTCTTTAATAAGATCACAGATGTAGAATAGTATCTTCAGATGAGAAGAGAGGAAAGTGATTCCAACTTGTCCAAAATTCCTAAGCTGCTTAGTGGTTAAGAATGAACCAAGTTTCAGAGTTGCTGATTTCCCATTCAAAGCTCTTTTGAACTTACTATCTTCCCCATTAATAACCTTCTTTGCATCTTTCTTGTGAAACCCTTCTTTACTACGCACTTGTTAATAAAGTGCGCCTAAAATCAAGGACTCTCCAAGTAACTTTTCATTTCTAACCATATTCAGATATTTTATGAATGGAATTATCTTTCATGAAGAATGACAGGGTTTATCTTTCTTTTTGGGTGTTTTGCAGTTTTTGCATTCAATGCTTAAAAAATACAAAGATGGTGTTATCAGTTGAACTGTGTCCCCCAAACAGATATGTTGAAGTTTTAACCCCAATACCTGTGAACGTGACCTTATTTATTTATTTATTTTTAAATATATATCTTCATTGATTTCAGAGGGAGGAAGGGAGAGGGAGAGAGAGAGAGAGATAGAAACATCAATGATAAGAGTTGTCATTGATTGGCTGCCTCCTGCAGGCCCCCGACTGGGGATTGAGCCCACAACTCGAGTATGTGCCCTGACCAGGAATTGAACTGTGATCTCTTGGATCCTAGGCTGATGCTCAACTGCTGAGCCATGCCCAGCTGAGCAAATGTGACCTGATTTAAAAATAGGGTCTTTACAGATGAAATCAAGTTAAAATAAGGTCATCAGAGGAAGCCCTAAACCAACAAGACTGGTGTCCTTATAAGAAGAGGAGAAACTGGACACATACACAGAGAGAGAACAGGCATGTAAACAGGAAGACAGAGGCTAGAGTTTTGCTACTAGAAGCCACGAAATGCCTGGGGCTACCAGACATTGGAAGAGGCAAGGAAGGATCCTCCCCTAGAAGCCTCAGATGGACATGGCCTTGCAAAAACCTTGATTTTGGATTTCCAGCTTCCAGAATTGTGAAAGGATAAATTTCTACTCACTAAGTCTGTAGTGCTTTGTTACGGCAGTCCTAGGAAACTAATACAGATAGTGAGATAACACAGATAACGGAAGTACAATTTATCTAATGCCATTAGAGTATTAGCATTATAGTTAAACACAGTCAGTTAAAGTAAAGCTATTCCCAAGTGCACATTACCCAAAAAAGAAAAGTCTCTAGTCTTTGGATTTTTTGACATGATCGAATTAAAAGTTAATCCTATCTCAAATGAATTAATTTGTTCTTCAAAAAAAGTAATCAGATCGATAACATGTGTGACGGCTGAGCGTTACTCCATTAGAGTTGCAGAGCATCGCACCTTTCATTCATTCCTCAACTACTCAAGTAAAGAAGGTGCTTACTTGTTATTAGTTGGTCCTGTTGCCAAGACGTCGGACTGTAACTTTGGAAAGAACCCTTGTTCATATTTTCCTTGACCAATTTTCATATCAAGCAGATGTGGGTGGATTGCAGTGTGGTCCATTTTCATCAGCCGCTGCTCAACTGACTGAGCTATAAATTAAATTTGTAACAAATTAGAGACATTTCATTGGCTAAGCCTTAAAAAATAATGCTTCCTCTACTCATGCACCAACAAAGGAACCCAATCTTTCTCACACTCTGAAACAGATTTTTACTAAAGCTCTTCAGAAATCAGTATAATGTAAGTACAAAAAGGTTAATTTTAAGTAAATACTGGGTAATTAATTTTTACAGTATTTCTGCCTTTGTCAAAGGCAGGGCAGTGGGGTTGAAAAATCTCTTAAGTTAGCATTAAAACAATTCCCATAAGTGGGAAATTCAACATTCTTAATGGAAATATGGTTCTAAGTACAGTATTAATGAAAATAATGGCGAATATTTCCCTTGAGCTGAAGGACAGGTAAAGAGAAGGGAAAAGTAAGTACAGAAGCCTTGTATTAACTTTCTTTGTACAAAAACCCATTAAATACTCGTGGTTCTTTTTGTGACAACAAGAACTGTGTGAAGTTTATTACTTTTAGTAACAGTCACATTCTCATTAGTAGGAGTCTTTTAGGAGTGTTTATTAGATCAAGAGGGGTAAGGCAGAGAAAAACAAAATAAGCAGGCATTTAGAAAATGCCCAGAGGATTAAAAAACTGACCTTTTAAAGAATATAATGGGACAAAGTCAGAAAACAGGAATTACTCAATATTTCTATTTTTAAACCACTGAAAGGGGATGTCTCAAAGACCCAAGAAAGAGTGAATTATGTCTCTGGTAAAAAAAATATATAAATAAATCAATCTGATCTTCAATGTTTTCGTTAACTGAATTTTCAAGAGGAAATGTAACATTTGAAAATCAAGACTATGTCTCCAGTCCTCTGCCTAGAAACGACTAAAACAGGAGAACAGGCAGTGACTGTGGTTGTGTGATAAAGAGAGCACACTGGGGAACTGCTAATCTTGGGATTTAGGAGAAATAAAAAGGTATTTTTATAAATATTTCACAGAATCAGTTTATTTTGCTCCTTTCAATACCAGCAGATTGAATACTGCTTGTTATTGCCCAAACACAGTCTAAAAAAATTCTTTCTTGGGTGGGGAGGGGTCTGTCCATGACACTCTACTTTTGTCAAAAGAACATGCTTAATACTCTCTTCCGTGAGATCAGTGCTTCACCCAAACCAGTGGTTCGTGTCTGACAAAAATAGTACAAGGGGAAGCTTTGAGGAAGTTACTATTACCCTCTGTGACTTAAACGTCAAAATGTTAAACTTCCCTAATTTTCCTTCACAGGAATTTATCCAAAACTTTCTTGAACTTAATTTTATTTTTAATGTGTAGCTTGTAACTTATCTTGAAACATAGTCCATATGTTCTATGCTGGGCAAAAAGGATGCCCTGTTTTACTGTAGAATGATATTTAATTTTCAACAATGCCCCTTGGCTCTCCACAGCCCTATTTATGCTCTCAATGTTTCCTAATATTTATAAAGCACAATTAACAGATGGTTTAGGCAAAATAATGCTTAGATTCATGGCATGGAATTTTCTGAAGTTCCTGCCAATTTTATGTTCCATGAAATACTACAAAATTCCATCTCTGCCAATTCCATCTCATGAAAAGAAAAAAGGAAAATTAGCTTCAGTTTTTTCCATTGGATTTGAAATGACAGAGAAATCCATCTGATACTGAGTTATTCTCCTTTTGTTAGGAATCTTTTTAAAAAACAAAAATCATAATTCACAATGAATCACTCTTGGGTTTACATGTAAGACGACCATAGGGAGCACAATGCAGTGTTAACTTTTCAGTGATTATGCCACCAGTGAATACTGAACATTCAGAGGTTATTAAATGCCTGCTTTGAGGGGTCAGGGCCCTGTTGTTATACTTTCAAGGGTTTGTGCCAATATTCAGTTTCTGTGATTGGGGGGGGGGAACTCTGCATTACGATCAGCTGGTTGCCTTTCTGCACAGAAATCATGAGGTTCTGGAGCCACAATGTCAACAGCAGATGACCTCTGCCTAAAGAGTTCACCTGCAAATCAAAATCCTTTTTAGTTAGAGGCAGAAGAAAAACAAAAGCTAAACAACAGGAGACAAAAATAATACACAACAAAAAATCCAATGCTGACAACAAAATCCCAACCTCTGTAGCTTTTGTTGGAGGAGGGTGGAAGACAATTTTATCTGATAAAAGAAATAACTGCACATTCTTTGAGTAATGGACAGTCACAGCCAGCTGCCTCCTTTTACTTTTTAAAAGAGTGTTTGATAAATTAAGTTCCTGGGAGACTACTTACTGCTTTAGCTGAATCTCATTTTCATGTATGTTAAATCTATAATGGTACATTTTCAAGAGTATTATATAATTTCTGTCATGATAGAGGGAGTATCAAATTCTTTAAGAGGCTGAAAGAAAATCTATTTTAATTGAAAAGATTTCTGGAAGCACACAAAGGAATCAGTGCTGAGCTCCATTAAAAAATAATCTGGCCCGGCCGGGCGTGGCTCAGCGGTTGAGCATTGACCCAGGATCTAGGCAATCAGGGTTCAATTCCCGGTCAGGGCACATGCCTGGGTTGCGGGCTCGATCCCCAGTCAGGGGTGTGCAGGAGGCAGCCGATCAATGACTCTCACATCACTGATGTTTCTATCTCTCTCTCCCTCTCCTTTCCTCTCTATGAAATCAATAAAGATATATTTAAAAAATAAACATAAAAATCTGGCCCAGCCGGGGCGTGGCTCAGCGGTTGAGCATTGGCCTGGGAGATTGCAGTTCCATTCCTGGTCAGGGCATATGCCCGGGTTTCGGGCTCGATCCCCAGTCAGGGGTGGGCAGAAGGCAGCCAATCAGTGACTCTCTCTCATCATTGATGTTTCTATCTCTCTCTTTCCCTCTCCCTTCCTCTCTTTGAAATCAATAAAGACATTTTTTTTAAAATTTTTTTTAAATCTGTCAGAAAGGGAGGAATGAAGTTGGCTCAACAAGGCATTATACTCTTCATACGGCCACTAAAGCACTGAAAGTCAGACTATAATCTGAACAGGCAGAGACAATTTAACTCATTCTACCCCTCAATTTCCAGAGACACAGTAACTGCCACTTCCTGAAAGCCTCCAAGGATTGACCCTCAGAACACACAACAGGATGAAGTTCCAGCAAGTTACCCAAGAGACCTCTATAGCTACATAAAAAATATTGTTCATATACTCCTTTCCTTAAATATGCTAAAACTACGGCATCACAACTCAGGTGACTCTGATTTAGTTACATAAAGTGAGAAAGGCTAGTAACAGAAGCAGAGCAGACACTCCACGTTGGCTACCTCCTTTTTCTCCAGAGGCAAGATTGTTTTCCAATAGCTCCTACATTTGAAGAAAAATATATCAAAGGAAGGGGCACTCAGGTGATAAAATATCAGTTTATTTAGCAAACAAAGAGGAACCAGGTATGAATGCATAAAATTGTGTGGACTGGTACATTTTACATGTTTCTTTATTGAATGCGCAGCTAACATCGTAGTAAGGCCTCAGGGGCTAGAATCAGTCACACCTGGGTTCAGATCACAACTCCACCAATCACTAGCTATGCAATCATAAGCAGGTGGTTTGACTGCTCAGTTTTCTCAACTATAAAATGAAGGTAGTCATAAAACAAAAGTAAATGTGCCTATACCCCCCTTCATCATTAAGATCAAATGCAAAAGGGCATGTAAAACACCTGGTACAATGTTCAGCACACAGTAAATACTCAGTAAACACTGACTGTTAATATGGCTATTTAGTGGACTATTATATTACACTGTCAGACAAGACTGGCCAAACTCATAATTCTTGGAGGGAAAAACTGGTGTCAGGGTTGGGAAACCTCTAATTTGAATACAAGAATCCAGAGATGTAATTTCAATAAATAAAGCTATTATAATTAATGGCACCATTAGACTAAATATACTGTCACAATTACGTTAATTAAGCAACATCTCTGATTTACTATTTTAAATTAATACTTATCTTTTCCTGGCCAAAGAGAAAAGAGGCCATAAGTAAAAAGGCAACATAAGCAGCAAGATAGAAATTAACATTTTTTTTCATAAAGGCAATAAAAAGAACAAGACAAAAACATCATAGCAACCCTGTAATTCTACTCCATTCAATTTGTTACTGCTTTTCCTCTTCTAAGAGAAAAGGAATGTCAAGTAGGAATGGGATGGACATGAACTCACAGAAACAGAAGGAAACAAAACTAAAGAAAGTACCTCTTGATATATATAGTACCATAAAGTCTAAAACTGATAATTAATTTTTTGTTTTATATGGCCAACAATGTATACAAAACAATCATGGGTTTTAAGTTAATTTAAAAAGGCATGGCAAATGTACCTGCTTTATTTATTTATGTTTGTTTATTATTTTTTTAATGTCATTTACCTGCTTCTTTTAAAGTGCTGCATTTCTGATATATAGATGTCCTCAAGGTGGGTGCCCTTACATTATACAGTCTTATCTTCTCAATCCGAGAGTCAAAGACCCGAAGCAAGGGATCTTTCTCCTCCCACTGAGACATAATTTTATTATCAATAAAGGTGGCAAACATCTGTGTTTCAATGAAGCGTGAAAGGAATGGCAGGTATGGCTCAGGCTGGTCACACAGAAAGGAAGCCTGTAATGAGAAAAATGAAAAAATTATGAGCGCAGAGACCCATCGCAATACTACATGATTCTGAAAATTATCTGTTGCTAAGGTCATTCTTTTTAAATCGTATAACATACAAAACTGATGCTTAAAAGTTCAAAAATCTTTAAAAATTCACGTTGCTTGCCTTTCTTCTAAATTCAAAAAATTTCGGTCACTTAGGTCTTTATCACTGATCTTACCTTTCAAACCTGATTTACATTCTGATCCTCATGGCCGTTTTATAGAAAACAGAGCATCATTAATGAAAGATGGTGGATCAATTGCCACAGGATTGCCAATCATCCTCTTCACTTACCAATAAACTTGACCCCTTTCCCCAGTGAGCTGTAATTTCTTCTGCTATATCTAGCCTATGCAATATACCTTCAAGTCATGAGGCAGTGAGGTGATTAACTGATACAATAATGCCATATACATAATAATTTTAAATAAAAACAACATGACTCGGCCGGGTGTGGCTAAGTGGTTGAGCATCGACCTAGAATCCAGGAGATCAGGGTTCGATTCCCGGTCAGGGCACACGCTCGGGTTGCGGGCTAGGCAGCCAATCAATGACTCTCTCATCATTGATGTTTCTATCTCTCTCTCTCCCCCTCCTTTCCTCTCTCTGAGATCAATAAAAGTATGTTTAAAAAAAAACACCAACATGGAGTTTGTCTTTACAGGTGAAATCTTTTTGTTTTTCTTCAAGTGGATGTTTTTCTAGGCCCCAACTGTCAGAGATTCATGGGTGAGTGTTAATTCAAGATCAAACTCCTTCCAGACCTGTGCTGAGACTTAACTAAAAAAAGAATGGCCTAAAAAACCATCTGAAGCAAGTTATAAGCCTTTAGCATGTACAACACATTCCTGTTACCAACCAATTCGTCTGCTGCACAGAATGGTTCAGTAAATTGTAATCAGGTTTCAACTCAGAAGTGTTCATTTTTTTTCTGTGGTTCTTCAGGTCTGTGTGTCTAGAAACTAGTTGCAGCCTGGTACCCGCTGAAATTTGGAGATGAATTACTATTTCAGCTGCTGGGTTGGTTTCACTTCCCATTCTTTAGAGTAGATGCAGCTGATGGGAAGGTAAGTTCTGATGTAAGATTACTCTCCTTAATACTCATCAGCTTCTTCCTAGCATGTTTCTCATTCTGAAATTTAGGAAGCCTTTTAAAAAGTTCCTTACAGAAACCCAGTTATTCAATTTAAGTGCTTCCATAGTTCAGATGTATTTACATAAATCCAAATAGCCAGAAAAAGGCTCACAATAGTCTCTAGAAATCAGCTCACCTCTTTAAAAGGTATTTTACAGATAAACATCAAATGTACTTTTTATAGAGCAAAAAGCCTTTTTATTTTTTTTCCTAAAAGGGTCAAATGTCTGGCTTTGATATTCAGACCCTCATGGACTACAACATGTAAGGTCAGCAAAGACTCGGTTTGCACCAGTAGTATGTGACAGTCCTGTAAATTTTCCTAGTGAAAAATTAGATGATTGCAAGCCTTCTGGAATCCGACATGAAACTTTCATTTCTCTAGGGGTTATATAAAAAGAATTCCATTTATAGTTTGAAGCTACATAAAGATTAAGGAGGAAGCAAGTACCAGTGCTCGATTTAGATAAGAATTTGAATTGCCCCAAGGATAAATCCTGAGTGTACACAGTAGTTCCAAGCTGAATAGGAAAAAATGTGGGAAAATGGTTAAACTTAATGAGAAAGGAATCTAAGAGCACAAATACATTTGGGGAAGGGAAGGCTTCTTAATTTATTAAGGAAGTTTTCTCAAACATAAAGTGCACCAGAACTTAACTGTTCAATACAGTTTAGATCTTCTGCCTGAAAAAATATCTGATGAAATCAGAAAATAATCTTTTATACTACCTACTTTTATAACATTTTAAAATTAATATTTATTTGTCAGATGCTCCAAGATTGTACATTAGGCTCTTAGGATGGATTGGCCCCTTTAAGGAGACTTTCACAGCACAAAGATGCCATTTAGCAAAAAGCCATAACTCATTCTAATAGCAATATCATGCCTCAGCTACCACAGAAGCAGGAGGCTGAACTACACCCTGGTGACCTGAAAGAGTTAATGCCCTTCCCTTAAGTGCTTTTGTCTGGAAAAAAATTTTTTGATGGATATGTCAAGAAAATCTGGTAGATGAATACTCTACAGTAAACCTTAGCAAGAAGCTTCAATGTCAACAGGACAATCAAAAGCTGGTGCTATTTTCTGTCTTCCTTTCCCCAAAACTGGAACAGAACCTTAGGCTTATAGTAATAAAACCTAATTCATTCATCTTTCTCTCTTTTCATCCTAGAATGAGATAAAAATTTGGCTTCTGAAACTAAACTGTTTTGTTACCTTTACAGGGACAAATAGTGACTTCATTATATTGAAGACAAAATATAAAAATGGGATTTATTAGAAAAGAAATAGGCCTTATTTAACTAGCCTTGATCCTTGAATAAGAATAAGTGACATTCTTACAAGATCAGATAGTGTTAACAGATTTGAAATACCTGTGAAATCTGAGTTTCTATAATTTAAAAATTTTCAAAGTATAGAATTTTTAAAAATGAGATGAAAGGCAATGTAATACATAATTTGATGGTGGGCTTAATGAGCTAGTTGATTTGCTTTCCTGTGAAATTGTTTTATCTAGTGTAAAATACTGGTAATTTATTAATTGGAGAGAGGAAAAATCTGTGTTTAAAAAAAAGTTAACAAAATCAAATAATATAGCCCACTAAGAACCATAAAAAGGGAAACTATGGTTCTTTTTACTTTGTCAAAGTTCTGCATCTGTTCCCGGTTGGTGAGCCAGGACTCCAAGTCCTGGGCACTCTGAATCACAAACGCTTCGTAGTCTGCAAACATCTGTGTAAAGCGGTTAGCAAACACCTCTCGGAGCTGTACGTTGAGCTGGTAGTCCCTTAGCTCTGCCTCTTCACACTGCAGTTTCAAATCCTTTTCTTTTTCACCCAGAGAGGCAGAGAGGTCCATTTTTTCCACGGTCACACCGGTCCGCTTAGCCAGAGCTTGGAGGCGGGCTATGGTTTCGTTGCCTTTTAGTAACTCATACATGCTGATGTTATTAGTGGAGATGTTGCCATTCTTCTTGTCATTGACCAAGTCTTTCAGAACCAGATTCTTCAGCTTGGTGGCACTCTCACTGCAATGTAGGCTGCCCTCAGGAGGGATCCCAAAGTGAAGAAGAACTTCAGAGAGTTCCTGTATAAAATCCACTTTGTTGGGGAACTGTGGAAATTCTTCAGGCAACTCAATAAAATGGTTGTCAATATCCACAAAACACAAATTAGCCTGAAAAAGAAAAAAGAAATATAAAGGTTTTACAGTAAAGAAATGTTAAGTTCTAAAATATTTTTGCCAACTATTATAAACAAAATCACAAATTACGCAGATTTTATGTTAACCTTTTCAAGGTTAAGAATTTTTTATTCNTTTTTGCCAACTATTATAAACAAAATCACAAATTACGCAGATTTTATGTTGACCTTTTCAAGGTTAAGAATTTTTTATTCTTTTTTTTTTTAATTGATTTCAGAGAGAGAGGAAGGGAGAGGGAGAGAGAGATAGAAACATCAATGATGAGAGAGTCACTGATTGGCTGCCTGCTGCTGGGGACTAAGCCCGAAACCCGGATAAGTTCCCTGACCAGGAATTGAAATTCAGTCTCCTGGATCATAGGTTGATGCTCAACTGCTGAGCCATGCCAGCTGGGCAAGAATTTTTTATTCCTTAAAAATAAATCTCTGTTGCCAGCAGTTTTCCCTATGTGAGTATTTTTATACCATATTTAATATAAATGAATAATTTTATCTGGATCTCATCAATTTATTATAATCAAGATATGGTTCTGTAATAGATGGCATCCCTAAATGACTAAAGATGCACAGACTGATAGTACCTTACAAATCCAAGAACACTGGGTATGCTCACTGAAGGAGCTTGAACTTTCTATGCCATTCCACTGCTCTAACACCATTCATAATTTAGAAAAAACAATTGCTAAAATTTAGCAGCTACAGTACCCTGCCCCTAGATGGGATAAAGCAGGCAAAGAGCAATCCAAATTCATAGAAAATCCACAAATTTTTACTTTATCCCAAATTAGCTTCAGCCTCTTGGAAAACAAAACCATTTCAGAAGTCATTAGACCAAGAGCAGGAGGCAGAGGGAGGTGATAGAGGCCGTGCTTAGAGAACTATAAATGATTAACCCTTGGATAATTAAGAGGTGACTCAGGAGATATTTCTGAGTTGAGGAAAAGAGGAGATAGAAATCAGAGGAAATGGTTTTTTGAGTTTGCTTATGCTCTAGGTTTTAAATAAAAGGCTTTTAAACATTTTTCAAATAGATATGAAAAATTCAAGGAGCCAAGTACCTGCATAAAATTCTGATGATCCCCAAGGTACCTGATTATAGTAGACTCCAAAACAGTATTTTACTTTTACTGTTCAGACCTTCTTAATCTGAACAAGGTTGTCAGTATAAAGGAAGACAGTGCTCCTAGACTGGAGAGGAAGGGGGCAAAGGTGAAGCCCATTGCATAAAAGTGATCCTGACGGCATTAGGGACTGAACACAGGGCATGGGGTGGAAGTCAACAAACAGAATAGGAAGCTTCCTGGTGTTTCCTCATCCCCTCACCCCACCCTGCCCTGTCCCCACCTCCCAGGTCAGCAAGGGGAGAATTCACACTGTCATCTCATCTGAGTGCCAAGGAAAAGTGAAAAGAGGAGAGCAAACAGTTGGATCTCTGTTTTTCTCTTCATGTTAGATACTGATGAGCAAGGAGTATAGCAAAGTTCCAAATCAAGCTCAATAAAAACTCAAGATATCCCCCATCCAGAGAACCAATGAAGATTTCTTCAAGTCTGCAGATGAAGAAGTTGAGGCCCAAGAAGATAGGTGACTTCCTGACACCTGTCTCAGATAAGCATCCTCAAAGAGCCTGGTGGCTTACGGGACTTTTCCCCCTGCATCTTTCCTCTTTTCCAATGTCAATAGTTTTCTCTAAATAAAGTAAGAGTTGAAGTCACATCTTGCTGAAGACCCTACAGCTTCCTTTAAATCTGCATCTTTACATGTGTTTCTACAGTCCAGAAAGAAGGATAGTATATTGAAAAGCTTATAGGGAGAAAGTAGGTCACATAATTCAAATGGATGATTCAATATTTTTAAAAATGGAAGGAAAAAGATCCATTAACTTGCTAATATAAATGTTAACCAGCAACCTCTCACCAGTTATATTTTGTACCATCTCCTTTATTAATGCCTTCCAGCTATCCTTTTCTATCCTGTGCCTTCTATGAAAAGAAAAAGTGATGCATTTTGGGAAATTTTAAAGCTTGTTATGCTCATGTAATCACTGCTGAGCAGAAAGTGTATGGCAAGGTGGGTGTTCAGCACCACAGCTCCTGGCCTGTCTTCAAATGCCTATGAGACTCTCACACTCTCCTGTGTCTGCATAGAAGAACCCAAGTTTGGGGCTTTGGTTATGACAAAGTAGAAATGGGAAATGGGAACTTGTGTTATAAAAATTTATTGAAGAAAGGCCAAAAAGCTGTTTTCTAAAACAAATAAGAACTCTATGCAATAGAGTATTCTCATAAGTCACGTTCTCACTTTTAATACCATTAAATTAAAAAAAATTATATGAGAAGAGCTCAAGAATATGACACAATGAAAAATGGACTCGGCATCTCAATCTTAGGTTGTTTTAAGACTAAATATTTCTACGTTTTTACTGATCAACAATGTAATTACTGCCAATGAAAAGCAACAAACATTCCCTCAAAAGGGAACAAAAACTTGAAGCTTAATTATCTCTTCTGCCATGAAGACCTTCCTATGTTCCTAACCCAAAGGCATTTTTATTTCCCTGTATATATTCTTAGTTCATTCATTCCTCTTACTGACATTTATTTTTAGCCTGTATTATTGATATTGGTAAATGAATATTTTGGAAAGCAGAAATCGCCTCTTATTGATCTTGATGTCTCCCAATGTATCCTGCACTAGGAGTGTATGAGGCAACATTTGCGGAATGAGTAAACAAGGCTCAAGGAGATGTCATCTTGTGAAACCCCAAAAATGCAGGCAGGAGGGGGAAGTACCCAGGAATGTGAGGCGAGGGCAGCTTTCTCCATGCTGAGTAAGGGATCCAGTTACTCAGTGGTGGAAGTTAAGCCAGAGGAGAACATTTAAAACACTCCCATAGAATCTCAGGGCAAGATATGGAAAAAGCAATTCCACTTCAACTTTCTCTTGATTTTTTGGTCCACCATTTACTCTAAAGATTAGTAAGAATGGTAGAAAGTGAGGTGCCATTCTATGCAGTTATTCCTCAGGGCTATATCCTTCCACCATCACCCACCCCCACTCCCGAAAACACACACAATACAATAAATGGCTCCCTGTGCCTATCATTTTGGAATCATGGGGAAAGTGAGTGGGTGGTTAATTATAAGTCTATGTAGTTACATCAGTCAGCTAAGAACCAAAATCATACTTTCTTAAAATAACAATTATGCAAACATTTTCACAACTATTCTAAGAAACTCTATTACTATTTTTAGCTATTATTTTATTTTATAGTTTTCAGAAAGGGGGGAGGGTGAGTATTATTAGTGTATTGAAGTCACGTTTTTAAATGACTATTTTTATACCTACTTCCTCCCAAAATTATGTGAAGTAGATTATTTTGTCTCATTGTAAAACAATACCAGAGCAAAGTGATATACCTTTTTTTCTAAATTCATGTACTAATTTATACTATCTATATAGAAGCACTGCTATTTTCACAGCTGATTCAAGAAATTTCATATTATTCTACTCTATGAATAGATGGGTATGTATATTTATCAAACAGTGATTTAATGAATAAAAAATCAGAAAATCACAGACATTACTGTAAGAACTTACAGAATTTTAAAGTTTATCTTTAGAGTCAGAGGATGCACACAGACACAGAGACAGAAAGATTTCCTGACTACATCAAGGTGGTACTTTAAAATCCTCAAAAATTATTACTCATGCAAAAATGGAAAGATAATATTTATATATCTAAACAAAGGATCTTATAAAATATCATCTGATTAACATACAAATAGACCAGAAACTAAACTCAAGGAACTCAACTTGTCACTGTTTAAGAAATACATTTGGCTAGTCTATTTCTTTTTTCCTTGAAAATTTAAAGGATTTATGTCTTTAAACCATCAAGATGCTGAGATTAATTTAAGAAAAGAGAACACAAGAGCGTTCAGGTAACAGAGAAAAAGAGGTATAACAGGGAGGCAAAAGCAGAGAACATGCATGAACTCAAAAAGACCAAGACCATTTGTACTATATGTATTCTATATTATCTGAATCAAGCCACTTTCCCCCCGAACAAAAATGCTAATTTTGGTAGGGAAAATGTTTATTAGAATAAAGTAAGCAATGGCCTAGCCAGTATGTCTCAGTGGTTGAGCACTAACCAGGAGGTCACAGTTCAATTCCCAGTCAGGGCACATGCCCCAGTACAGGCTTAATCCCCAGTAGGGGGAGTGCAGGAGGCAACAGATAAATGATTCTCATCAATGATGTTTCTTTCTCTCCCTTTCCTTTCCTCTCTCTGAAATCAATAAAAATATATATATTTAAAAAAGAATAAAGTAAGCAACGGATGATTACAGGATCATTACTGGGTATAATGACTGCAGCAGTGTGTTATTTTGAATTCATTTATTAAAATGAGATTTTCTATGGGAAATAAGAAAAAATAAAAGTGAAGCACAACACAAAAGATTTTATTAAGAAAGGGGCTAATTACATAGCTAACAATATTATGTGATTAACCATTTTATGTTTTTTAATAGGCCATGGCACTCTTATCAGTATTTCATTTCAAAGGCTTAACATTGTAATTTCAAGGACTGTAAACAATAGCTAAAAACCAGATTCAAAATGCTTTCAAAATATTCATTTATTTTCTTCTTAACATTTGAAAATACAACACACAGAAAGCATAGTAACCTTAAGGTGGCCTAAATGCTAGGGGTTAGAATTTTTATCTCTACCATCTAGCCAAAGTTGACATTTAGAGAAAGGTGATAACTAGCCTTAGGTCTGAAAACAAAGAATACTAAAGTATTTGATGTTTCCATTATCCCTAGCTTGTGGAAAGACTTTACTTTTCATTTGATGGAGGTGAAGAATCAAATTCACTTCAATGAATACAATGATTTTAGAGGATGTTAAAACTGGGCTGCCTTGTTTAAGAAATAAAACTTATAATGTGAATGGAGAAAAGGAAATAAAATGTCATTAGAATAATAAAGCAACTAGATAACATTAATATACTACTGTTCCATCGTCACAAATTTATAGCTGTGGAAATCTGCTCTTGTCCTGCTTTGCACCATGTTTAATTAATGACTGTCACAGTCACCATCAGGAGTCAGGATCTGCGTCCTATGGCTGGGGCTCTGCCCTAGACTTACTTGGGAGACTCAGAACAGAGACACAGTTTAGATAAAGACAACGCTATCTAAGGAAAGTATCCCTGACCTAAATCAACAAACAGCAAATGCTTCATCATTCATATTAACTTTTACCTCTTGAGGAAGTTCTAGTTTAGAACGGTCAGTTCCTTCTTTTGACTGAAGGCCCATCAGATAAGGGACAGGAGCATCAAGAAAATGTAGCAGAGAAGCAGGGAGGATGGGCACATATACATGCTGCCACTGAAATGGGAACAAAAGTGTGGTGATGCCTTCCGCCACAGTCATCAGGCGTTGATAATCTGCACAGAACAAGGAAAAACGGAGGGGAAGATTCCAAGTAAAAACATAATCACTGCATTAAGCTTGAAATATCAATTTCTAGAAAAATTCTTGTGCTAATATATAAAATCTTTCTTTATGACCATACAGATGATCGGTCACATTTCTATCCCACCATAATTAAATAGTTAAATGGTTCCATTTGAACGGTTTTGAGAAAGTATGGGTAGGTGGGAAAGAACATCATACTCTTTGCTCCTGAAATCACTGGTATGTGAATTTGCTTTCCTTTAAAATGCGGAGGAAACAAGAACTAAGAAAACTGCTCTTGGCACTTCTCCCATTAAAAATGGACCAGAATATTGCTACTGGTCACTTTTTGTATACATGTATATTTATACAATCCCCAAATTCAGAGACCTTTTTTCCTTGTATATATAATTATCCTGATTATATTTTTGTTAGCCTTCATTTTGTGGGTACACGAAATCAACAGATATATGCATTCATAGTCACACTTTCTATATTTAACCCCCAACTACAGAACTATCAAATATGGGGGCAAAGTGAAAGTTACCAGAAAATTAAAGGTTGGGTTTTTTTTTTACACGAACAAATTTATCAAAACTAAAAACTGTTTACAATATTAAAGCGCCACCCTCGTTTTGAGATATAGTTGACATATAACACTATATTAGTTTTTACCTGTACATGATGATTTGATACATGTATATATTGCAAAACGATTACCACAATAAGTTTAGTTAATATCTATCACCTCACATAATTACAGATAAACTATCCTCTTAAACCACTCTGCCATGGATGTTTATACAAACACATCTATAATGCCTTGGATCCAGATGTGTTGCAGAATTCAGAACTTTTTTTGTTTTTTTGTTTAATTTAGAAAGGTAATATTGTACATACACCATATACATGAAATACCTAGGGAGCACCCTGCAATCAAACACATTAATACAGTATTTCTGCAACAAACCATGAGAATGTCCCAGGAAGGTAGATAGCCAAAGATTAAATAAGTTCAGTGTGGTTTTGCCAATAAATAAGTTATAAAAAGAATGTTTAGTTTTCAGATTTTTTTTTGAATTTGAGAATTGAAGAGATGAGATATTGTAGAATTCTAGTAATCTCTCACAGAATTCACCGTACACTAATACAGTAAAATCTGCAGGAGTAACACTTTGGAGAGTCTTCTTAAAAAGGTAAGGAAAAAGATAAGATGCTACTTGGTTCACATCAACTCAAAGAATACTTTACCAAGCATAAACAGAGTATTTTCCATTTTAAAATTTTTCTTATGTTGTTTTATAATTTGTAAATGACTACCTTAAATAGTCTATACTAGGATTTTGGTAATGAACCGCCAGCTATCCATGGCCCAAGTGTACCATTTTCCTTATCTGATTCATTATTAATACTTAAATTTTAGATGAAAATTTGTGTACAGGAATACTTCTAAAAATCAAATACTACCTGAGGGTCAGTCACATAAACCACAGAGCTGACCCAATTGCCTGAGGTGGTGACAAAGGAACACGGGAGACAGACACACTAGGTCAGCTGAGGCTCAGAGAACCTGGGCTGCTATGGCTGGTACTGTGTGAAGTTGGGGTGTTGGGAGGGTGGTCAAAGGAGATCAGACAATTAGCTACCTATCACTCTGCTAGTAATCAAGCAGATGTCTGAGCTGTAGGAGATAAGGGCCTTATATCATAGGGCTGGAGTTAGGATTGGGGAGCTGATCTGAAACCCCTGAAATCTGTTGAACGCTTTAGGTTTAGAAACTGTGATAGTCAGAACTAACTGCAGCTCTGCACTGTGACAGGACTCCATCATGACGCTTGCCCTTGGAGCTCTCTCCTCCACTGTGGGCTCACTATGGGCACAGCAGAATCTTTTAAAGAAATTTTTAAAAATTATTTTTCTATTACAGTTGACATTCAATATTATATTAGTTTCAGGCGTACAGCACAGTGGTTAGATATTTATTTAACTTACGAAGTGATACCCTCAATAAGTCTAGTATCCACCTGACGACATAGTTATTACAAGATTACTGACTATATTCACTATACTGTACTTTATATCCTCATGACTATTTTGTAACTGTCAATTTGTACTTCTTAATCACTTCCACTTTTTCACCCAGCCTCCCCAACCCCCTCCCATCTGGCAACCATCAGTTTGTTCTCTGCATCTATGAGTCTGTTTCTGTTTTGTTTGTTTAGATTCCACATATAAGTGAAACCATATGGTATCTGTCTTACTATGGCTGACTTATTTCACTTAGCATAATTCCCTCTAGGTCCGTCCATGCTGTAACAAATGCTAAGATTTCATTCTTTTTTATGGCTAATATTCCATTGTATATGTACCACTTCTTTAATCATCTATCGATGGACACTGGGGTTGCTTCCATATCTTGGCTATTGTAAATAACACTGCAATTAACATAGGGATACATGTATACTTTCAAATTAGTGTTTTGGATTTCTTCAGATAAATATTGGAGTGGGATTGCTGGGTCATATGATAGTCTTATTTTTAATTTTTCAAGGAACCTCCATATTGTTTTTGATAGTGGTTGCACCAATGTACATTCTTACCAACAGTGCAGGAGGTTCCCTTTTCTCCACATCCTCAACAACACTTATTTGTTGATTTTTTTTTTTTTTTATGATAGCCATCTGACAGGTATGAGGCGATATCTGATTGTGGTTTTAATTTTCATTTTGCAGAATGATATCTTTTAATTTCATTTTGCCCATGAAGAACAGCCAGTGCTGACCAAAATTTACTGACGCTACTGAATGTTATGTTTTTCTTCTCTTACTGCAAAGAGAGTCCTAACAAAATACACACAAAGGAGTAGAAAGGTATACAGGTAAGTAACTATAAAAAGACCAAATCTGGGGAAATGTCCTTAAGATTTTCTTCTGTGGATATCCATTTCAATCAAGGATTGAAGTCTTTTTTATTTTTGTAACCATAGCATGTAGCACGGTATCTGGCATATAACAGATGCTCAAAAATACTTTTGAATAAATGAATTTAACACTATATAATTTTGCTGGATATCCATAATTTAAATATGATTAGATTTTGTCCACATGAGATTAAAGAACTCCACTAATTTTTCAGTAGGAGAAAATGGTAACTTCTCAGACAAGAAACCACTAAAACCCATGTTTACTGGATATTCACATACTCAGTTAATTATGTGCATGCCTAGGCACAGTATAAAGAAAATTCAAATATTCACTTACAAAGCCATGTATATTGTTCATTATACAGAAAATTGTTACCAAGTGACTCATTCTAATTACAGTATAAGTGTACTTTATAGGGATCAGAACTACTTAGAAACACCACATTATAACATTTTTCCTCCTATACATTAAAAATGTAGAGATATTAAAGGTGGAATGTAATGCACGCTTCCCAAGGCCCTTCAGAGTGGGAAAGGACTCTCAGGAAGCTTCCACAGCTTTTTGGAAGTGACTAACGGATGAAAATGCAATGTGTCCCCATCAGAAAGATGCATTTCACGTGCCACTCCTGAAGTTTGAGGAGAACAGAGCTCACTGGAAAGTAAGAGAAAGAAAAATATAACTTTACATTCACTTCATTTCAGTATTTTATGGTTTGACTGTATTCAAAATGCACAGTATGTCCTATGCAGAAGGGCTATTACAAAAATAACTGGATCATTCTTATCTACACTTGCCAACTTTTAAAAATTATTAGTTTTACTCTGGGTTTCTATGGAGTTTTCTTGTCATAAAAATAGTCACAGAAACAAACTGTTATCAGGACTTTTTGGTGGGTACTGTTAATTAAAGATTAGTACTCGAAGACAATCACTTACTTCCTTAATAAAAGGTCAATGTTTGTGACTTAGCTAGCTTCTTTAAAAAAAACACAACACCCTAAAATCTAGGCTTTAAAAAAGAATTACATTTTTTTTACAACAATAAATGGGAGAAACAAACTACTTAATAGTTCTTTAAACAATTTAAAGAAGGGGGATATTCTTACTCCACCTTACCCATCTCAAACTACTGAATACCTTACTTTTTTTTTTTAAGGAAAAGGAATGAGAATATTCATTTGTTTAAGATATACTTAGTTTTCCAGTCAAGATGGTAGCATAAGTAAATGCAGTACTCACATCCTCCCACAACCACATCAAAATTACAACTAACCTACAGAACAACCATTATTCAAAAATGCCTGAAATGTAGCTGAACTGAAATCTTACAACTAAGGATATAAAGAGGAAGTCACATCCGGACTGTTAGGAGGGGCAGAGAACAGGCAGGTCCTACAGTCACGTGTGATGGATAAAAATGAGGAGGGATATCTCTGCTGCAGAGGTCACCCCTGAAGATCAACGGTCCAAGCCCCACACTGGGCTCCCCAGACCTGGCACCAGGGCCAGGAAGAGAAGTCCCCATATCTTATGGCTGTAAAAACCAACAGGGCTTGTGGCTAAGTGAAACAGAGGGATGCTGGAGTCACAGGCATTCCTCTTAAAGGACCTACGCAAAGACTTCCTCATGAACTTGCTCTTTCTGAGCTTCAGTGCTGGGACAGCAGCTCAAATGACACCAGGGACAAATGGGGAGGAACTAAATGGTCTGGATTCAGGGCAAGAGCTGGAGGGGCAGCTTTCTCCTAGACAGAACTGCTAGCAGAGGGCATTGTTCTATTTATGAGCCCTTACACCACAAAGCCAGCTGGCAGGCACCATATCTGAGTCTCCACCAACCTGGATAAGGCCCTTAGCTCTGCCCTGGTAATTCCCCTGAGAGCCAAGCCCACCCAACTTTTGGGTCCACCCAAGCTGTTTCCACTGGTTTTTCCATATGAATGGCCTATCTTGGCTCTTGCTTCAGGCTTTCCTAAAATCCCTTAAACAAGCAGCATCTGGCCTCCGTGTGCCACATCTGCCCTCTCGTTAACTGGCCCCAGGCCTAGCATTAACAGCAGCTGG